AACAAGGCAGGTTATGCTTACTCTTTCTAGAACACATGGTATGACTTCTAAAAGAAAGAGGAGTGTTCGAGACGATGTTTATTGCAGAGTTTCACGAACATTTAAACGATGTGCAATATAAATATTTCAGTTCGATGGTTCGATCTAAAAGACAAATTCTCCCACATGGCATCTTTTTTACACGTCACTAAAACCCTCAGAGTTAATTCCCTTAGACCCTTAAAAACATACAGTCCACCGTGAATGCGAACACACGGTTCCGAACAAATCCCCCTCCTTGATGAGAAATAAATTGAACATCAACAAAAACGATGAAGTTAACGATGTACAATAAATGAAACTTATGAACTACGATTAAAGTTCTATCAACCATTACTGTTTATAAAACCTATTTCGATGAAGGGTCACTTTAATTTAATCTACACGAACAATGTCCCTATACGATTAGTCGTTGTCAAGAGGACAGAGACGAGTCACTGCTCTCCTGTATGTGTTCTTTCCTGTTTTTACATCTACCACGCGCACATGTCCATCACTTCCTGGGTAGGTTTTCTCTTACGTCGAATACAGGTATTACAGTTATGTTGAATCGACTTAACTGTCTCTCTAGCACGAAGAATCCCAAATTTAGTTCGAAGTTCCGATAGTAGATAAGACGTACCCGTTTCATGATTTCCCTTCACATGCGATGTCTCCCTTCGTAGGCAAGATAATAGGATATCTGGCGTTATAAGATAAAGTCTCAGCTCGACACAAACGACCGTTAACGCGAAGAACACCTTGATCATCTATAAACGGATTAAGCGACAACAATTTCGAATTGTTTTTAACACCCTTGTCTTTTTCTAAGTCTCTGATTTCTTCAAGAAATGCTTCCCGCTGTGCGAACTTATACCAAAAGGTTGCAGAATTATCCATCTCTGCCGATGTAAGTACATTACCAGCAACACGATTGTCTAGATTACGAATGTTATTGATAAATCGAAAGATCCAAGCAGTTATCCGATGTAACTTGGTATACCTAAAACGGCACCAGAAAGTTCTAACTTCGGAATCGATAACGTTTTAAGAGGCGAAACACGAGTTTTAGCAATTATCAATTTTACTGTTATACTCTGATCATCATAGATGCGACGAAGATAACAGGCTGCTGCATAAGCATTCTGCGACGCGTCAACAAATGTATGGACAGTTTTATTTAAGATTTTCGAGTGATTGTTCAAAAGACAACGATTAATGTTTATTAAATCAAGTTGCGATAATCCACTTAACCAGTTCTCCCATAATTTAGCTAAGTCTGGTGGTAACTCGCTATCCCAATCAAGTCCTCTAACCCAAGCTTGCTGAATTCCGATCTTGGCTCTCACAGTAAATGGCGCTAACAGATTAAGAGGATCGAATAATTTAGCAGTTTTACTGACGATGGATCTCTTGGTTAGTATATCACCATTCGGCTTTTCCACTTCGAACGAAAAGCAATCTTTCTCAGCTATCCACAAAATGCCTAACGTCTTTAAAGATGGAAGACCAGTCTTGGCATCTATTTCGAAACATTCCACGCGATCTGTAACTGGTACCTCAGATAATACTCCTGGATCATTAGAAAGCCATTTACGAATTTCAAATCCCGCTGTTCGAAGAAGATCGGTTATCTCTTGTCTCAACTGCGTCGCTTCAGCTACTGAATCAAAACTGTCTAGTAAGTCATAGACGTACATCGAATTCCAAAGGGAATCTGAACCAATCGGATAGATGTTACTATGCTTTTCAGCGTGATCACGAATTACTGCTTGGGATAAATAAGGTGACGATGTGTTACCAAAAACCAATCGCTGATACTCGTATTCTCTAACTGGAACGTCAAGATCTCTCCATAAAAAACGATGGTATCTCTTGTCTTCAGGTGTCATTTCTATCTGCAGCAACATTTCTTTAATGTCAGCAGCAACAGCAACTAAACGATGACGAAATCGAAGGAGCACGTCAACTAACTCTCTCTGAAGCTTAGGACCTTGATGTATGCAATCGTTTATCGATTTACCATGTGACTTCGCAGCGGCATCCATTACGAGTCGCACTTTTGTGGTCGACTTATCGAGACGAACGACGGGAAAATGTGGCAGATACCATATATCTGAAGCTTCTTTTTCAGGTGGACGAATCTCTTTAATATACCTTTTTTTCTCATGGTCCTTAATTATTGTCTGATACTCTACTGCTACGGAAGGTCGTCTGGCCAATGACTTTTCTAAATTTAATAAGCGTGAATAGGCGAGTTCATAATTATTTATGATATCAGGTTCATTTGGTTTCCATGGAATATCCACCTGGTAACGATCATTATCAAATTTCAAAGATGACTTAGTTTCTTGTATGATTTTAGCTTCGTCTATCGTTAAGGATGGCGATTTAGAATTGACACCACTAGATTCGATCTCCCACATCTTACGTAATAAACTATAAGTATCATTTTGTTCGACGAAAAAGGTACTTGCAAAATGAACAGATTTATGAGCACCTCTATCAACTGGATTTAACGGTCCGATACATGTTCAATCAAGCGGAGTAAGGCGAGCTATAGCTTCTCCGGATCGACCACTAATTTCTGTTAACGAACGATGTAATTCTGGAACATTTAGCCCTATCAAAATATCAACATGTACTCTCTGGCATACCCTAGGAAATTCAATGCCAGATAAATGCGGCCAATTATGAGCGTGTTTGTTCCAATCGACGATAGTAAGATCACCTGTGACATTCTTCACCGTAAATGCATAAAGGTTGATGTGAGTTCTACCATCGAGGCTAAATAAATCGACGAATACTTGAGTAGTTTTGATTTTATCTTTTTTCCCTCCAAGGACGGATACGTTAAGGTTGGCACAAGATCCACTAAGACCCAATTCTGAGGCTAAGTTCGGATTAATGTAAGAGTCAGTAGAACACTCATCTAATAAAGCGTTTGCTTGAATAGTACGATTTCTGTTCCGTAAGATTACAGGTAATATTCTCATGGCTACTCTATCACAATCACTATTCATATTTGCATGAGTTCGACTGTTACGACAAGACTCATTTTGACTTCTAGGATCAGGTAAGCTGCGATCATTACTACGTGCACCACTTGTATTCGGCTCATTTTGTTCTAGGTGATAGTATCCCCCTCCATGCAGGAGCTGATGATGGGTTCTCGGGCAACCATCTATACCACACTGCTGAACATGTCTGCAATTCTTACCATGATGAGATAAACTTAGGCAGCGAAAACATAAATTATTGTCCTTAGCAATTCTCCATCTCTGATATACAGATACTGATTTAAATTTAGAACAATCTGCGATTCGATGACATTCTCCACATAAAGGACACTGTAAATTAGAACTCGAATTTGTATTATTTGTAGCGAATGTTCGAAATCTTCGGTCTGGTGGATCAAATCTACTTTTATTATGCGAAGGTGCTTTTGGGGAACAGAAACCTTTTGCTTCTTCTTGGGCTTCAATACGATATTTCACTTCTGACGATAACCATAAATGTAAATTAACTAAATTCTCTTCTCTTTTCTGACGCTGACCATCTCTTGAAGTGTGCTATGTTAACTGGAGATTTGGCTACACTTTGATTTGGCTACATTATAAAACATGGAATTTTCTTCAAATTCCTCCGTACGACCTGCCTCTTTAAGCGATATTATCGAAAGTTCCAAAATATCTGTAAATTGTTCGACACTCTTTAAATCATTGAACATGATTGGCTTCATTTGTCTAACTGCATCAAGATGGAATAAAACCATTCGCCTTTTACCACCATATTTTTCATCTAATCTTATTTTTGCTGAATTATATCCCAAAGTAGTCGCAGGAAATCCATCTATGGCCTTAAGAGCCTCTCCATCCAAATATTGGCGTAATTGCTACAGTTTGTAACCATCAGAGCATTTTACCCTATCTATGCATTGGTCGAAGGTATCTTTAAACAAAGGATATTCTTTTTTATTTCCCATGAACTTGGGAATGGCGACTCTTTGTAATTGATGGTGCATATCTCTTTCGATTTCATATTTTGGTGGATTTACCGAAGGATTAGGGGAATTTAAAACGTTGTTCTGGTCGATTTCTGTTATTGGAAAAGTAGGTTGACTATTTGAAGTTGTCTCCCTTTGACCTAATTCTACCGGACTGGGCACTTCATTGCGATGGTTTACTTTCAACAACGATAAATATTCTGTACATTTACTGACGATATCATTTATTTGAGGGCTATCACTAATTTGATCTAATTCTGTTTCATATTTATCTGAATCGATATCACACAAGGATTCTATGACGTCCATTACCTGTTCTTGGCATGACAATAAGTAACTGAGTGCACTGCGAAGTTCAAGTTTGTTTATATCGTCTTTACATGAAAATAAAGCAGTTAGGTTAATACGCGACCTGGTCAGCTGGGCCTTTAAATTTCTTTTCTTTTTTAACAACTTTTTAAGTCTTGACTCACACCCATTTTGATTACTTGTCTCACCTTCTTGGTTGGCTTGATCGACGACTGTTTCTCTGTCAGTGATACCGGGCCTCGTTTCCGATTCCGACATTTTTCTTCATCGACTTGTTTGAACACTTAGATCTACTTGACTTTGACGAATTCTACGATGTATAACAGGCCGTACAACCACGCTCTGCTACCAAAAATGTTCGAGACGATGTTTATTGCAGAGTTTCACGAACATTTAAACGATGTACAATATAAATATTTCAGTTCGATGATTCGATCTAAAAGACAAATTCTCCCACATGGCATCTTTTTTACACGTCACTAAATTCCCTTAGACCCTTAAAAACATACAGTCCACCGTGAATGCGAACACACGGTTCCGAACAAGGAGTTTAAACAGTCTTAGAGGTAGAACAACTTACCTATTGCACAGTTGTATATCTTGATGGATAAACTTGTTATTCTGGTATCATAATTATAAGAATTATCAAATATGAAAGATCTCTAAGTTATATGATTGATAAAAATGAATTTTATTAAAACTGAATAAATAATATAGAATCACATTAATCGATTGAATAAATACTCTTGTAAGTCACAAGGTAACAATTGTTCATCAATTTTTTTTTCTCTTGTAGATAAGTTATCAATCAACAACTTCTACCACTGAAAAGAGAAAAAAGATAAATAAATATTTAATTCAATTCCTTCATGTCTTTCATACGCTTTTTATATGCTATACATGTGGTTCATGCATTACTCACGGGGCAAGTGCAAGACAATTTTGAACCCGCAAGGCTAAATACTTACCGCCATACAATATTTGTTTTTCAACCTTGATTTTTAAACACATATTTTGTAAAAAAAATGAAAAGCACAAAGGTTTAAGCTTAAGCAACACATCAATCATTGGTTGTTCTCCTATACAAAAACTTATAAAAGTGCGACTCCCAAGGGCCAGTACTGTTCCCCTCTGCAGTATGTGCCCTAGTTGGTCTGCTGCATATTTGTTTATCACATCCCACCTGTTTGTTTATCACATTCAACCTGTTTGTTTATCACATTCAACCTGTTTGTTTATCAAATGCCACCTGTATGTTCATCACATCCCACATGTTTTCCATTTCCCACATGTATGTTTATCACATCTATTAATCATATACCACATGTATGTTTATATTTATCATATCCCCCATGTTTATCACACCCAACCTGTATGTTCATCACATCCCACATGTAGGCCTATGTTTACCATTTCCCACATGTATGTTTACCACATCCCACATCTATCAATAATATCCTGCATATATTTATCATATCCCCCATGTATGTTAATATTTATCACATCCACATGTATGTTTAGATTTATCACATCCCACAAGTATGTTTAGATTTATCAAATCCCACATGTAAGTTTATATATATCACATTCACATCTCACATGTATGTTTATATTTATCATATCCCCCATGTATGTTTATATTATACTTATGTCTTATGCTATTATTGCTACATGTATGTCTTTCATATCCTCTATGTATGCTTGCTATAATGTGTATTTCATGTCTTGTATATATGATTCTCATAATTATATGCTATATGTATTTTTCATATGCTGCTATTGCTACTTGTATGTCTGTATGATAAAGTATGCATACAGTCTATTTTGGTCTATAAAGTAATGAAGCAAACATGTAAAAAGTCTACAGAAACATAATTCATGTAATCATTTTTGCCTTTAGGGCCACATGCATATGCAGCTATTTATACTTTACCTAAACTCATACTTGAGTGATTCTGATCAATTTAATTTTAGACAGTTAGTAGTTATACATAAGTTTTAAGATTTTTACAGTTAAAGTAAAATTTTAAAACTGGTAAAATTGATGATCAAGTCAGTATCAGGATAGCTTAACTTACCACAAGGGATGTTGACCTTATTTGACACAAGAACATCAGCTTGTATATGGTTCATGTTGACATACAAAGTCTCTGGGTTTGACTAAAAAATATAAACACATTTCATAAGACCAATATAAACAAGCCAACAGTGAGGCTGATGTCCCCCACCTCAATCCCAAATCTTTTTTGTAAAGCATTGAACAATCAAATTGCTTACCACTCTGCTTAACCTGAGCAGAAAATGTTCATTATTGAAGTTAATCAAGGTATTGATGTAATGAAACTAAATACCAAGTTTCATCACTCTCACCCAATTAGAATCAAAGATATTGTTTTCCAAAGCATCTTTATTCTATTCAATTACCGGGTACTTAGTTTATATAATATTTAGGAGATAAGCACTTCCTGTTACGTATTTAGAGGGGGTTTATTGTCCATTTAACCATGCTTGAATCATTAGAACACGAGACGCGATAGCTATTTGCCAATAAAGATTTGAGTTGAGAAAGATCATTGAGCACAAAAATGAAAAAAAGTACACTGTTATAAAAAAAAAGTACACTGTTATATTTATACGCAGTAATTCGCCTTGATAATTTATTGTCCATTCGACTACACTTTCCGACCAATCAGATTTGTGCTACAATTTTTTTTAACATTCCGATGATCATCTTTACGAAGAGCCCAACATGTCACAATCATCAGGTTGACCATATTGATTTTTTCTGCAACGTCCAGTCACAGGAAACTCGATTATGTGCTACACCCAGTCAAAGGAATCTATAGGCTGTGACATCATTTTTGCACACGATTTCCCTAATTATTATTATTCATCAAAACCTAACATAAAATGTAAATTCAAAGACTCTTCTCCAATTCTACCCCAAAGGGGGGGAAAGAGAGAATTCTATAAATAGACAAACTTTATGCATGTACAGTATTGTGAAACCAGTGGAAGCAATTACTAGTCTTGGTCCACAAGCTGCACTGATTACATTGACAGTTGATAGCATTAGAAATATTTAGTTTAATTGACAAAAATAAGACTAGCCCTTTCCATACATATTGTTATATTATAATTTATAATCATTACAATTTCAAACAATAATACTGTATATATACAATATAGTTAGGAGATTTTTCTGAGTAAATTCATTTGTGAATAAAGGACTAAAATAAAGAAATCTTTATAATTCATAATTCAGAGCAGATTATATTTCATTTTGGGGGTGAAAAATATAAGTGAAAGTATATTCTTACCATAAATAAATCATAAAGTGCATCACCCATAGCATCCCTCACATGGTCATCAACTACTGGAAATGTTCGACAAAAATGCTGATAAAATAAAAGAATAAACAAAGATAGATATTGAATGATGGTAAATAAGTGCCTGAAATAATGTCAAATCATGTGGCGACAACTGATCTGTTGACTGGATTTTGTAAAATTTTAAAAGATCCCAATCTGATTAAAATACAGATCTTATTTGTTTTGTTTATTTTTATAGTTCAAAATTTCGTTTTACTTGTCTTTACTACTCTAGGATCTAGAAGAGGTGTTCTGGATGATGTGAGGGATTAGCCAATGAAACGGTCTGTGACAGTGAGCTTTTGGCGTGAGGTCTATGGAACTGTGGGTAATCTACTAGAAACATCAATGCTGATTGGTCAATAAAATGTCTGACATCATAGGGTCAAAAGCCACTGCTTTCCAGCAGCGATTAAGCTGTGGGGAGCAGCAGTATTTTCAATAGGGCTGTTTTATAAAATTTCCATGTTTTACATTTGCTGTACAATTGGGCTTTAAATCTGCTTATTTTATAACCACCAGAGAAATGTATAAAAGAACTGATATCATTACCTCCAATGTTAAACTAGCTTGTCTTTGACTGTCTGCATAATCCACGTTTCCCATAGCATACAACAAATTGTGTACCACTCTTAACTACAAAAAAAACCTCACCATGGTTACATAGGCAGTGAAAAAGTAGAATGAGGATACGTGTGGTGTGGAGGTAGGTAAAGGGGGGAGGGGAGGTGTCACCTCTGGGTGCAGAAGTGAAGATACGGGTTCTAAAACTCTAAAGCTATTCTAGAGTGATCTAAATTTCAAAATTTCCGGGGGAAAACTTGATTTGATTGAGATGCTGAGAAAAGAATTTCACATTTAGCTGAGAAAAATATTTCACATATTTGTTTCTTTTTGTGACCCCATATTTGTGGTCAGGATTAAATATTAAAGAGATCAAAGTATGTAGTTTGCATATTTTTTATATTCACATTTTTACATTTTACATGGTACTTGATTGTTTAAACGTTTGTTAATCATTATTTGACAAAGTGCAGCCACTGCACTGGCTCAATCATTCGTGCTGTCTAGAATTAACTACTGCAATGCCATAATTTCTGGAGTAACTGATGAACAAATTTCCAAGTTACAAAGGATCCAAAATCGTGCTGCACGAATTGTGACTAAAGCTAGATCAAAATCACACATCACTCCCATCTTAAATAATCTTCACTGGCTCTGAGTGTGCGAGAGAATTAACTTTAAAATTTTAACTCTGACATAACAAAACATTACATAAAAAAGCACCAAGATATCTTCAGAATCTCTTGACATACTACCAACCAAAAAGGTCACTGAGATCCAAGAATAAATTATTGTTAGATGCACCGGTTTATAAGATGAAGAAATTTGGTTCAAGGACTTTTCAGTATAATGCATCAATCCTATGGAATTCGCTACCATCTTCCATTCGAAAATGTGAAACATTGTCTATCTTCAAATCAAGTGTGAAAACCTGGCTGTTTCGTCACTATAATTAACCTATGTGAACACTTTCATGCGCCTAGAGCATCCCCAAGTGGGATGAATTGTTGCGCAATATAAATTTTGTTATTATTATTATTAAAACATCAGTCAATCCATCAACGTTTGTCTTCATTGGATTTAGTAGTAAAAAGAATCTGAAATTAAGGAATTTGATTTGTGGATTAGCAAACAGGGAAGCCACTACCCTGGCAAACATCTTTAATACATTTATTCAACCCCAAAAATAAGATATCACATAACAACTACATCACTGTGAAGTTCTGCAGTAGGTAGTCAAATAAAGGGAAATAACTCCCGTATATTAAAAGGAGAGCGATCATCAATCTTTTCTGTGCTATTAAAGGCATCCGTTTTCTATATTCTTATTTTTACATGGTACTTGATTGTTTAAACATTTGTTGATCATTATTTGACAAAGAAAACATCAGTCAATCCAGCAAGGCTTGTGTTAATTGGATTTAGTAGAAAAAGAATCCGAAACTAAGGGAATTATTAATGTGATTTGTGGATTAGCAAACAGTGAAGAAGTCACTGCCCTGGCAAACATCTTCAATACACTATTCAACCCCAAAAATAAGATATCACAAAATAACTCCAAGGTTAGATCTATTTCATAAGGCCAAGTTTGGTGAAAGGTCACAAGATTTAAACAGGGCTAGCTCTAATCCCAACCCTAACGTTTCTTAACCCTGGACCTAGTTAGGGTGACCACCCGTCCTGCATTTCGTGGGACAGTCCGACAAAATACTTCCAAGTCCTGCATCCCGAAAGTCAGCCAAATGTCCCGCAATTGCTCACATGCAATAGTCTATTTGAGTATTAGTCCTACATTATTTTTTTCAAAGATTCCTACTAGTAATTTTAGATCTAAATTTAATCTACAACATATAATTCTGTTTCTCAAACATTCTGCACATGCAATACGATTCGTAAGTTTAAGTGTGTGTCAGAGTACTTGTAAGTTTTACGTGTATAAAGTACACGTAGTTTAGAGAGACAGACTTGATTTACGAATGACATTGCTTCTGATCTCTTAAACGTCGGCGAGAAATGGATGAAAGCAAGGACCCTTATAATATAAGATCCATGATAAAAGTGATTAATTTTTCAAATGTGTCGTCCACTACACCAGCAAATTTAATCAAAATTGTTTTCTTTTTTCTTTCAATACCAGTTTGCAATGCTTATGTTGAGTGCATATTTTCACTGATGAAAAACTATTGGAGAGATGACATAAACCACAAACCAGATATCAATAAAGCTTATTCGATATATACAAAATTCAAATTAAACAAAACTTTAAATATTCGTGTCAGTATATTAAGAAATCGCAGATTATTACAAGCCGTGAAGTTGAACAAAAAGTATCCTTTTAAATCCTGAAGTTTTAGTTGCACTTACAGTCTTTCATTGTCTTTTTTCTTTGCTTCATAATAAATCATAAACTCATTAAACTATCTTGAGTTGTTATGCATTCAGGAGAAAATCACACGGTATCACTACCTAGTGGGAGTATTTCATTGCCATATTTCTTGTCTCAGATTGCTGGGAGTTGCGTTTTGGGCTTCTAGTTTTCAAAAAAAATGGGGGGGGGGGCCTCCCATGGGACCAAGTAAGTGCCCCCCGAAAAAGTCCCCTCAGACCCAAGAACCTCAGATGAACATTATACGTGTAACTGTCTTAAATTCCACTATATCATCATTCTTCCACTCCCAGGTCCCCCCCACCCTTTGCTCAGTGTGATCACTTCTCTATGGTTGACAAAAATCAATGACATTCAAAATATGACATGAACTTTATGTCAACTTGAATGAAACTGCAATATGATCTATGTTCTACCGGGGCACTCAGTGTTATAGCCAGTATTCATTGTGGGGTTGGATTGTTCATGGCGCCCTAGATTTTGCCCCCCCCACCCTATTCACAGCTTCTAGATCTACTACTAGGCCCCCTAACCCCCCATCGCGGTCTCACACTTACGGCATTCGGGTGAGCAGATCCGCAGATAATAAGAAGGGTTTTGATCAACATATATTCTTTCTGAAAAGGTTGTCACCATACAATCTCGCCAACAATCACGTGCCCTAACCTTATCTACATCTCAACGACCTCCACGAAATCTTGAGTTGGCCTTTAGAAATAGATCTAGCCAATAACTCCATCACTGTTTAGTTCAGCAGTGGCAAGTCAAATAAGGGAGATAACTCCCGTATATTAAAGGGATGCGGACCACCAATCTTTTCTATGCCATTAAGGCATCCTTTACTGTTGTAGGGGATTTCCCTGTTTACCTCTTGATTCTTTGTCTCAAAAGATTCACCAAATCTTGTCAGAAAATGTACATTCAACAGAAATTGACATACGAAAGAGAGAAAAGATAATAATTACTATGTCTTAACTGACCAATATTTATTTCATGATAGAATTTAATGTGTCATTTACAGCAATGTCCTTTATCCCCTTTTGCAAAACCAAAGGGGCAAGCTAAATAAATGATATTTCATGGAAAGTTACCCATCGATGAATTGTACCATATAGCAGATCTAACTGAAAGACTATTCCATTGAAAGATAATTATCCAAAAAAAATTTCACAGATGAATTAAGACTGGTAGTTAGTCTGTAATTCTCCCTTTGTCACACTTTATATAATTGTAGATTTTTGGTGTTTGAATTTACATTTTTTACCAGGTTTTGGTGAATATTCATGAGCCTGAGGTGCAAAAATCAGAAGAGGCAATTGGGAAATCACGTACGACAATGATGTGTAGAAAAGAAATAAATGTGACATGTTGGTTCTTTGTGGTTACAAAGATTAAGATCATCAGAATGTTAGCAAGAGATTTAACAATGACATTGAAGTCAATGGAGAGAAGATTACCAGTCTGAGACCTACAACCCTTTAGGAAATTAGTAGTTGAAGTGGTTAAATAATATAATACCTGTATTAATTTTTCTGATAATTCATTAGATTCTCTAGCTAATATTCTGAAATAACAAGATTGGAAACCATCAATAATAAGGTACCATACAGATTCATTTCTAAAAAGATCAATGTATGACATTTTGTAAGACAAGAAAAAAAAGGAAAAGAGTTTCAACTTTTTGTCAACACATCACTTCAGTCATTTTTGAGACACCAGTGTGTCTGTCTACTCGGCATCAAATTCAAATTGTTATGTGCACGCCAATGTGTACACAGGTGGATCTCAGAACCCTAAAGTTGCTACCCCTGGTAAGTTTGAACTAAGCTTGAAAAAATATTGGGATTCTTCTCGGCTCGAAATGGATACCAGGATATTCTAATCAAGAGTTCAGTGCCATTACTACTTGACTACCGCGGCCCCCTGTTGGATGAGGAGGCATGTACCGGTTTCTAATCTCAGCAGTGACAGATCAGACAGCTAATCATCTTATATGCAACGAAGCCAACCCAGGAGAGCAATAGCATATGTCCAAAAGTAAAGAAAGTAAAGTAAAACTGTTACCTACCCAATAGTCTTAGCAGATGCTGCTTGTTTAACGAATTTAGATAAAGGTGCGCTGAAATTTGGCGTGTTGGGATCTGGGGAAAAGTATTTGAATAACAAGATAAGCAATTATACTAGGATAAACAAGATTTCTGATATTGTCCGTTATCGACATCATATCAGTTACTGTTTAAAACTTAGTTAGCAGTTAGTCAACAAATAACACAAACATTCATTCCTTTTGTGTATATGGTAATTAAGAAATTGACATTTCTAATATGCATTCGGTCACAGGAGTTTGAGGGGATCAAGAGTGTTTTCAATAATTGGCAAAGTCGCTTTTATGGGAGGTTTATATTTGAGACTTTGGGTGAAGATGACTCATTTAATTTTAATCAGATTGGTGTCAACTTGCTGTAAAGTGTATATATAGTAACCACTGGCTGTAAGTACATAAAATGTTGTTTGGTCATTTTATGTGCTCTTTAATTAAACTGGAAGCTAAAATAATGATTCACCCATAAATCTTACCCTCAAGCTTGTAGACACTGAAATCGTTATAAAGCAATAAATAGATTCAAACAGCATGAAATATCTCTACTCTCTAGCCAAACAATATATGCATTTTATCACAAAAAATAAATTAAATCTACCTTCTAATATTTCTGGTTTGGGTACTGAATCATCTTTAATTGGTTTTAATTGTGTCACTAATCCTTTTAATAATGATGTTGATACATCATATATCATTAATTCTTTTATTAATTCGATGGCTTAAAAATACAAACAGATAAGTTTGGATTAATAGATGTGTGATTTTATATTCTCAACTTTTATAATGCAGGTACAGTATTCAAATATATCTATAATTCCCAAATACATCTGTACTACTATTAGAAATACTATAAAATATATAATCCTTTCAAAATTTGGACAGTACAATCTGTTAAATAATATCAAGTTAAAGCGATGTGAATTTCAGGTAAACTGTTTTAAAACATTTACTATTTGTAGTTTTCATACAGCATGCAGACATTTGCATCATACATGATGTCGCACTGTCAACTATACAGCATCCAATGTAGGCATATATGGGATCTCTAATCTGATCTTGTTGGCTATATTCAAATGGCAGGCATTTGCTAGTTGAAAAGTTGAAATAAACAACACTTATTATTGAAGTTATTTTAGCCTTGAACATCTTATTTTATATCTATACTTCTTTATCATTTCTTTGTCTTCATTACTTTTTATTTCTCATCAGATAAACATAGGTTACGGGCAGTCCATAAGGCTGTTGTATTTTATTCTTTAGTAGGTAATGGCAGAATTTGCAAGACACTAAAAATTTATCAAGGAAAATAACCCATGAAGTATTACCAGAAATGATTAAAATTTGACAGGTTCGTATTCTGAAATCAAATGAAAAACAACCACGAAGTGAGTTTACTGACCTTCAAACTGTACCTCTAAATGTAAGGTTCCTAGTAAATCTAATAATGGATCAACAATGTTAGGATTAGCTTCATCAACAATAGGCTGAAATAGACAAGTTTGACAAGTTGCACATATTGATTGGTTGAAAGATTATAATCCTGAAAACTAAGGAAATCTAGAAGAAAACCCAATATACAAATTCTACTAAACTCAGACAGAACAATTATTAATCTTTTTAAGGGGAGTATCTGGTCAAAATATGTGATCACACTAGGTAAATAACTTTTTAAAATATATTTGTAATAATGGATGTTTTTGTCCAAAATTCTTTGAGGAGATTATAACTGTTCTTTATAGTAAATTATCACATGTATTGCTTAAACTATAAAACAAATAAAATGGGATTTAATGTCCTATTTTTCTGAGCCAACTATAGGCTGATGAAGGTGAGCATAAGCCATGTAGTGGACTAGACATTTAAAGTTTCCACCTATTCTCTATTGAATTCTAATTGTCAAGTGTTATGGTCTTTAGGGGTAAAGGTGTTAGCTGAAAGAAATAAGTACATTACTATACAGCTAATTGTATCAGGTGTTTTAGAAAAAGTAAGTAAGCATACCCTGCCGTGTTTCATGGTAGAGTTTAGAGGGGCAAAAATTACCTAATAAAAACCAATTATAAAATTTTGATAACGCACAATATATTAAGTGTATAAAAGCATACTGAAATAGGTATTTCAAACATAGACATTCAGTAAGAATTCAATGCATGCATGATAAGAGCTCATTATTAACTATTCATATCAATGAAATAATGATGTAATTTGTATCAAATTAACATACTTAAACAATGAAATAATGTAATTTGTATTAAAACATTTGTGAATAATTAAATAATAATGCAATATGTATCAATTATACATACCTGAACAATACGAAGTGAATGTGCTGCCATCTGTTGGGCTTTAGGTGAACTACAGGGTAATAGAGCAATAAGTCCTTTATAAACTTGACCTTCAAACTTGGGGTTACCCTGCGCCAACATGAGTAAAAGATTTCGACAAGCGTCCTGAGTTTCTTCAGTTTTAGCTTTCGCTAAACATTCTGCTACTGCCCTTATTCCTTGAATATAAACAATTTTTATGCAGGAATTTATTTAATATTCAATCTCATCGTTTCTCAATTAGAAATTAGTAGCAAAATATAAATGATTCTGTTATCACAATCCAGAGAGCAATGATTTAGCAGGAAAATTTATGACTGTCAAAGAATATTACAAATACAACAGTCACATACATGTAATTGAAACTTGATCTTTATTTCCTTCTACACATTTGCGTGCACGAAAAAGAACACTTGAGAGTTGGATTTTGAAATAAAAGTAGAACGTAATGGCACTGTCTGGGCTAAATTTCAATCTAAGCACATGTCATAAGCCTGTCTTCATTATTTCAATTACTGCCAAGTCAAATACAAAGCATCTTTTCATTTGCTAAGTCAGGCCAACAAAACACAAACTTCATAAAAATAGTGTAAGACCTCAAAGGCCTACTGTAGTTCAAATATTAACGACATAAGAAAAAAGAAGAAAATTTAACAATAATATGGTCTAATTTTAAATACACTGGTTATTACCATAGCTTTCACAGATGAGTTCTTTATATTTTCGACCAGTGTTTGCGATTTGTATCAGGCAATTCAGAGCTTCTGTCTTGTCATCTTCTTTAGCTTGTTTTAATCCCAATATTTCTAACAATGTAAACACTCCACCAACTTCTAAAAATTCAGCCATAAACTTATGTCTAAAATAAAACCATATACATTGATATATAGAAAAATTAGCCTTCATTTGACTATCTATTTCTATTAATTCATGTCACAAATCTCTAGCTTGTCAATAAACATACTAGATCATAAATATCTTACTTAAAAATAAAAATTAATATCACCTCAAATTTTACATAATTTCAAATTTGGACATTCCAGATGTAACAATTAAACTACTGTTAGTCACATCGAAAATTAATTTTTACCAACCAGCAAAGATGTCCAATGCGCCTATGCCTTTTTAAGCCAGATGGTTTATATACTAAACACCAAAAAAAACGTCAGTACGATTTCAAAATCAGAGAGACACTTTAATCAAATCATTATAGAAAACGACCTACTAAATGGATCAAAACAATTTTTTTGTAAACAGTATGTTGACACATTAGTGATTAATTCATCACAATTCCAAGGCATTACGAGAAGGTTTAGAGTCTGTACACAGTCTATATATACATCAGTATCTGGTGTGTCCATCGCGAGTGTCAATAACAGCAGTGCAGTGTCTGTACATGGAGTGGAGCAGACGATTGATGAATGCCATCGGCAACTTGAAACCACACTCTCAAAAAAGCCTGATGCAATCCATTGGCAGTGTTTGGTCTTGGTACGACATTATTAAGTCTCCTCTGGATTTCATCCCAAAGATGTTCAAGCAGGTTAAAGTCCGGACTTAGGGCTGGCCAGTGCATAACGTTGACACTGTTCTGCTGTAGAAAGTCACAAGTAACTCGGGCAGTGTGGGCACGGGCGTTGTCATGCTGGAAAACGTGGTTTCAATGACGTGCAAAATGTGTTATGACGTGGGGTCTGAAAGCTTGATCAATGTAGCGCACTGCTGTGGTGCGGCCTCCTCTCCCTGGACCAAGATTTTGGAACACCACAGGACCCACTCTCTGGTTCAGGCCGATTCCACCCCAAACCATTATGCTTGGACTTCCCCATTAGTCTCGTTCCATGACACATTGGTCAGAATAACGCTGGCCACGTCAACGCCATATTCTGGTCCTGCCATCTGCTGTTGATACGCAATACCGACTCTCATTTGTGAACAGAACAATTTTCCATTGCCTGTGTCGCCAGTCCTGGTGTTGTTGGTTAAACTGTAGACGTTCACGTCAATAGAGAGGGGTGAGCATCGGTTCATGGTAAGATCTACGGCAAACGATGTTCTCTCTGGTGAGACGTTGGCGCACTGTATCGGTACTGATGGGTCTTCCGTGTGTTCCCACTGTCTGACGTGCTGTCTCAGATGCCTGTGTGAAAGGATTTTGCACATGCTGTCGCACAACATGGCGGTCTTCTCGATTTGTGGTAACCCTTGGTCTACGAGTTCGGGGGCAATCATCCATGGTGTTGGTGGCCCGAAAGCAATGCTGAAGTCTGTAGATGGTCCGAACATTAACCTGGAAGTGATTGGCAACGGCTTGGGCAGTGTGGCCAGCATCGAGTCTTCCAAGTGCCTGGTTCCTCTGAGCTGTCGTGAGTCATGGCATGTTGCTGACGTTGTAGTGTGAATGATTCAACCAGGTGCATTTTATAGGGCTGGTCCCGGTGAACAGCACGTGCAGCATGAGTTACATGAAAATCATGGAAAACACATTACCATCTCAGAAGTCAGGTTGCGTTTTGAGGACATTTCCTGGGTTCAATTCTGTGTTTGGGAAGGAGCCTTATTGTTCAGGTAAAGTTAGAGATGTGGTCAGAAATAATATATACATTAAAAACATTTGGCAAGTTTTATGCAATGCGTTTATTCAGAGTAACATACCATCCTGACGTTTCTTTTGCTGCTTAGTATATATGGAAAGGATTTCAGAATTATTTCGTAAAATTTGAAATAGCCGAACTTACCCACTTGAAGCTGACAGAAAGATACAAATAGACTTTAACTGTTCATTTAGACAAGTACCAATCATATAACTAATTGGATTAAGAAACTTTAATAATACTATTTTACTATCATTGTTATAAAATGTTTTTTAGACAAGGGTAGATAAAATGTTAATACTATATTTTTTACCGTAACATAAAGATGGATTATGTAAGGTTTAGATAAAGAGCTGGTCGTTCTCACTGTAACAGTTTAAAAATAGATAATGAAATGAATATATATGGAATATATACAGTCAAATTACTTCATTCTGATATTTGAAGTTTTGATGAATAGCCTACTCTACTAGTCCCAATTGTCATTGCTACAACAATACACAGAGTCTCAACTTTCCATGTTAACGGTAACTGATTAAATGGCACTGATGGTCTAATCCACATAATATCCAAGCTTTCCAATGGTATAGAGTTGATTGTAGGCTTATCCTGTATACATGTTTAAAAAATGGACATGCAATAGGCAGATTAGCTCTTACAATGCATCTTTAACATGTCAAAATTTAATAGATTCTATCGGAAAGTTATAGTTTCAAGATACATAAATCTTACTCCTTTTCAGGACTATATAACTTTAAAAAATAACTTGACGTTTTTGATTTGGTCTAAAATAAAATTGTCGACTTCATTGAATTTTAAGTGTTGATTTGTTTTGTGAGGTGACTATCTTTGTAGAAAATTTTACGTTTACTGATACAGCTAGTGTTGAGATATAACTGATTGTATCTTCTACAGTCAGCAATGTAATTCAAAAATGAAACTAAAATCAGTACACAAGACAATTTAATCATTAGAAACAAATTTTGACCATATAAAGTATACCCAATCACTAATCAGATCATCCCATTCAACACCTTATTTTAGCCTAAATCAAAGTACGTAATTAGCACCTTTAAAAATATTTCAGGAATTGGTAACATTAATTAGTCATGGAAAAGGATACGTTAATCGAAGCCATGCTGTTAATCTGGTTAGAAACAAACTTGCTGCTTGAGCAAACTCTTGTTCTAATTCTGGGCCTGTTTTATTTTTGTGTTGTTTTATAAAGTCATTTAAAATACTTTTACGAGTAGATTTTGGCGCTTTATCCCACTCTTGTAAAATGTTCATCACTCTTGAAATAGATGTTAATTGCTTTGCTGATGTCATCTTTGATTCTCTACCATCTACAATCACCACTGAAAAGGAAACAGTAATTTCATTTGCACATTTTAACTAAATACATCAAGACGACAATCCAGTATGGGTTATTTTTTAAAATCAAATTTAAAATATCACCATCTCATAATATGTAGTTATAAATCAAACCAATTTGAGAAAAAAAATGAAAGAAAACATTATCGTTAAAGAGGCATAATCACTCTCACCATGTACTTAAAGCAGCTAAGTCTCTAACTCAATATCATCCAAAGTTTTACACGTTGAAAACACATTTGTCATTTCAAATCAACACTGATGTTGTGATCTTACCGGGAAAAAGTAGGCTTCTGATATCCAATATTTAAGACAAAATAAACATTTTACCATTGGTACACGAATCGTGTACCATAGTGCGTTTCAGCATCATTTGTAACAATTAAGTGACCAGAAAGAATGAGGCTAGACATATTCCACGCCTCATGTCAAACGGTGAAACCTGGGGAGCATGCGCAATAAACTGAAATAACCAGTTGCTAGAAATTGTTATTCGCTTGAGACTCATGCCATATTTTGCTGGAAATAACTGATTTGAAATTAAGAGTCAAAACGGAAACAATTGAATGTAAATCAGTTTATATACAATCAGATTACATTATTATATGTGTTGCGACCCATTTGGGTCAATTTCTAGGTCCCAAATATTAGCGATTTAGCTCCTTTAATATATAATATCATAAATGCCTAATTATTGAAAATCTAAGCACGGACATACCTTCTCAGAGAGTAAGGTTTTTTCATGAGCATAAATTCACAAACACTCTCCATTAATCAACTATTTTTAGTACTAACATAAACAAGGTATCACATCAGAGAAGCTCTAAGAGTCTAATTCAGACCTGTGTGTCTGATGAAAGTGATTGGTTAACTTTTAAAAGGCAAACTTTAATCTGAATTAGATGTTCAAAAACTAATCTTGTGTGCCATCTTATTGAATAATAGGCCTATGTCATGACAGAAGTTTTGATGATAAAACTATTAAATTCAAATTTTAAATGTCTCAGCGAAGGCTTGGGCAAATATATATCCAAATGTGTATACAATCTCATCTTAATAGTCAAAGCCACTGATCCTCGTTTGCATTATTTTTCAAAATTATTTAATATTTCACAACTTAAAGTCTTTGAACATCATTTGAGGGGTTGTTAATCTCATGAAAACTACCTTATCACTTGTTGTGAAAGTTGAACCTCTAAAAGGAATGATCAGTAGAAAAATGGTTCAGTCGCAGTGAAATAAACCACAGTAATTGTTATCCATAAATAGTGTGTTATTTGATTATGTTCCAATTACTAAATGCCATTTAAAGAATAGTTCTGTTCAGTATTACAAAGATATTTCAAAAATATTCACCATCTTCTGCAGGCGATAAAAACTGGATAATATGGTCAAAAGAGACATAATCAAAACAGACAAAATTCGCCTTAGTCATCAAAACGACCCAATATCTTTTCAAACTTTATTTAAATTTGTCACTGGATTGATGTCCGTTCATTTAACACCAATCATTTTGGGATGTTTGGTTTAGGACATAAACAATCCAGTGCCATTCTTAAGTTTCACTGAACATTTTTGATTGGCCTCTGTTTAATCCAATGTTAGATAATCAATTTGAGTATGTTTAAGCATGGATTAAACCATGGAAAATACAGAAAAAAACTGAACTAGGTACCATATATTTGGATTGATATTTCTAAGAGATGTTGAATGAAGTTAAATCGAAAATTAATTTTTCTCCTAGAAGACCCTCAAAGGTTTAATTCCCTTTAATTCATACTCATACTGTTAATCTCATCAAATATATAAATAAATATACAGTTAAAATGATTCAATTAATTTAAAATTGCTTTCAACCTGGGGCCTGTTTGAGTGTTTCACGAGATAAAATCCAAATTTTAGTAATTTGATTGGATAATATTAGATTGATTTTAGTGCTTAGCCAATCAAAATTGAAGTATCTACTAAAATTTGGATTTTGTCTTTAGTTAAAATTTCGTGAAACAGGGCCCTGGCTGTGATTTTAAATAATAAAGTCATATGAATGAACCACCAAAATTAAATAGAATCTGTGAATGAATGAAGTAGATCTAAAATCTAATGCCAATTAGGAAATCGAACCTAGTATTTACCGGTTTTATTAATTTACTATACATTGCTGTTTAAAAAAAGGCTACATATGCAATCTTACCTGAATTACTGGGTTAGATATTTGGGTGACAAAATCACAGTTTTCAACAACTGCCGACACGTTTGTTATTATTGTTGCTACGTCGCCATTTTCATTTCTACTTTTGGTTTCCCCCTAATACATTTGATTGGCTCTCTATAGTAATTCTATTAATAGCATCCTATCAAATAAAAAGGGAACGGAAGGAAGGCTGGGATTTTTTACGCGAGTAACTCATGCTTAATATGACCAAGGAAAGTTAAAGGAGCTAAATCGCTAACATTTGGGACCTAGAAATTGACAAGTGGGTCGCAACTCATATAATACTGTAATATGAATGTATATAAACTGATATACATTCAATAGTTTCCGTTTTTACTCTAATTTCAAATCAGTTATGTTCCGCGAAATAAGCCAGCAGTCTCAATCGAATGCAAATTTCTAGGGCCTGGTTATTCCAGTCTACATACACCGTTTGGTTTGGTGCAATATTTCTAGCCTCGTTCCTCGAGTCTCTTGCTAGAACTGGGGCTGAAGTAAAATGTTTATTTTGTCTTAAATATTGGATATCAGAAGCCCATCTTTTTCCGGTAAGATCACAGCATCAATGTTGATTTAAATTGACAAATAATTTGTGTTTTCAATGTTGAAGATTTTGGATGATATTGAGTTAGAGACTTAGCTACTTTAAGAGATATTTGATAAGACCAACTTCAAGTTTGGTCAATGGTCACGAGATGTAAACAGGCTAGCGCTAACCCCAAACCTAACCCCGGGCCCAGCCCTAACGCTTACCCTAACTATAACCCTAACCCACAATCACGTGACCTAACCTTATTTACATCTCAGCGACCTTGACGAAAATTGAGTTGGCCTTAACAAATAGATCTAGCCCACCAAGGGACACTTATAAAATTAAGAACAGCATACAAGATATCTTCTAATCGCAGATTAATTACAATATACCACATTTCTTCAAGTAGCTTAAAGATACATTATGGGAGATAAGATAAAGAGATGGCAGTTCTCGCTATAATAGTTAAAAACTAGATAGTGTAAAGGTAATTTGCTGAAAATTTCAGTCAAATTGATCCACTATGAGCCGAGAACGAAGCGGGTGAAATTTTCGCATAGTCTCGGTCATCATTACTAAAATCATTAATATAAACAGCATAGTCTCGATTATCCACTGTTTTGATTAAATTATCAATGGCCGTTAAGCGGCATATAGGAACCTAATCCAGCCAACATCGAAGGCTAGCCTTGACATCGAGAATTTATTTTGGTCTGGAAAAGTTAATTAAATGTCTAATTGATAATTTAGATAACATTTCAGGCCTAAAGAAAGACTTGTAATAAGCAGATTTTTGCTCTTGCATAATGCATGTTTAAATTAAGAATAACAATTAGGGATGTGAGATTAATTATAAACTAAATTCAACGAAATTTCACCTTTCAATGAATTCTGTATAATTACTATAGCCCTAGTCTCGGTAGTTCCGGGGATATAATTATTAATACGTTGGTAATTCTGAATATTCACGTGGGAGGGGGGCGTGGATAAAGTTTACCCGTGAAGGCGTAAAGAGTCACGGGTGACGCTTGGGTAGAGTAAAATTATTGATTAATCCTATATCCATATTCCTGAAACAATGGACATTAACATCTCATTACATGATATAAAGCGTGTTTTTATTTGAGTTTGTTTATAATAACATCTCGTAATTAAATATGGATATATCAAGATGCATGAACACGTGGGTACTGAACGCTTCGGGAACTGGACTCTTAAAGAATATCCTATAGGTTTGAATATCGGCACAAGACCACCCTTTGCGGACTGGGTGTTAAACTTCGTTCTATTATCCCCCTTGCTATTCAATCTACTTGGGACTAGTTTTATATATATGTTCGTTTATTTGTTACACGTATTTTTGTGGTATTCGGTTGAAAGACCGGTTTAAAAACAACCCATCCCTGCAATCGTGAAGCAAATTTGTTTTCCAATGATGGACAGAGTAAGAACAGAGTAAGGGCTACGAATTGGATCATCAAATCTTGTGAGCTAGGCAGAAGGGTGCTGTGGAGGGGTCGATGATTGCCGGGGCGGGGGGCTCTTAAAATCAATCATAACTGAAGCCATAGAGACTTTAAAAATAATAACACCACTATTGTAACTCAGAAAGTAATCCCGAATTGTGTTTGAGAAGGGTGCTGTGGAGGGATGGATGATTGTCGGATGGCTCTTAACATCAACCATGGGGACAGTGACTTAGAAAAAAAGTACCAATCCCGCCCCGCCACCCCTAAAAAATAAAACCAATAATATTTTTACAATAAATCCTGGATTGTGATCGGGGAATTCACTTATAACCTATGTTTAACCGTTCTAACCGTCAATGATTTCTAGTCTTTATACATAATTCCAGTTTTATAAGCAAGCTGTTATTGTTGACTATTCTTTATTACACTGAATTAAAAAACAGTTAAAAGAATATAAATCCCGGTTGTGTGAATTAGTTCTATAATTTCGTTAATCGTCTGAAAGTCCAAACGGGTAGCGGATATCCAGTCTTGTGTAGTAAACCATCAATTAACACCAACGCCAAGTCGTCTAAATGGAGAGTAATATAAAAATAACTAGCTTGGAAATGTCATCTGTCGCCTACGTATGAACTGGCGTCAATGGATGAATCAAAATATATTCTCCCTTGAGTATCTCTTGAAATGGAAAAACAAAATTAAGATTTTATAAGACGCATGCTTTGAAAAATTGTCAATGAATTTTATGGAGTTTGATGTATTGTTTTATAATCTTGTAATGAATAATTCGGATGTTGTCCACCATTAGATCTATGATATTATATGATATGTTATTCCCATCAAAGATCATTATTACTAGATCAGTGTTCGGACTATGACGATGGGTCTGGTGCAGCCATGCAGAAGAACACTCGGGTAATTATTAGAGTCCGGTTTCCAGGACAAGGGTAACTGGTTAATTTACGTCCTCTCCAAACGACTAGACACGCTTTCCTTGTCAGCCCCACGAGCGTTTAGTAAACTTGGATTGTAACTTTACAAGGTTCCTCGCGGTCCACGGAATTCTAACCCGGGACATTCTATATAGCCGAGGGGTGTAAAATGCTACCCTTGAAGTCCAGCAGGTCATTAATAGACTAGGTGATCAAATTGAGACTGTATGTCAACTCTTTTGTAACAGTGTGGAATTACCCCCACGCCCCATCTAGGAAACAGCCACCCAGCCCCTTTTATTAAAACACGAAATTATGTTAATTCCAATCTATTTCCTTTCGTTTCGTCAAAATAATATTCAAGCCGTAAACAATTAATAAATTACCGCGGGTAAGTAATTAAAGCCTAAACCGAAGTCTTCCTGTCTGGATTAATAATAATTATATTAATTATCTCGAGCCTGAGGGTATTGTATAATTTTCTATAATATTACATGTTATTTCTAATAGTTTTATAATTAAGAAATCCTTGTTATCCAATAGCCACGGAAGTTTGGGTGATAATAGTTATTACATATCAATGTGTATAATGTAGATCAGAAACAGCGACATCACCGATTACAATAAAGCACCTATATCATTATCAACGTCAACAACTTTTCATGCCCAAAATTTGTGTCAAATGGTTTTTTGACATCCAATCTTTCGAGACAAAAAAAGTTTCTATTTTGGATACTGGACGAGGGGGGTGGCGGGATTCGTGTCATATGAGTCGTGTAAAGTCAATCTGATCATAACTGTACCCTCTAGAGCGTCTATAACCAATTGTGGACCATGGGCGGATGTGAACATATACGGCCATATCTTATGTTGCCGTATATATATTAAAAAAATATAAACCAAACACTTAATTTTTCCCTCCCTGGAAGGAATAATGCCACCAAATGTCTTCAATAACAAGACCGAAATTTTCTATCAGATCTAATATTGAAAGGCATCAGCTAAAGGTGATTAAAACTTTAGTTTCACCAGTCGAAGACCGATAAAAGAAATTATATTTAAGATATTATCATTTTTTTTATTAAGCAAATGTTACAAGTGTACATAGATTGGTAGCATTTAAAATAATTATTAATCACAACTCCTATAGCTGAATATAGGACCTTCTGATAAAGCTTCATTTATCGGAATTTTACCGTGGTATAATAATAACATCTCAAGTCATTTGTAGACTCTTTGACAACTCATTCGTCAAGATCATTGAACAAATACATGGACTCATTCATGTAACCCTATTAAGTCATTCGCTAATCTGACTATTCTCTGGAATCTGATTTAAACAATCCTTCTATCATTAGGTTAGCGTCCAACCGCTTGTCTGCTCTATTGATTCTGACACCCGCCCACCTTGTATGTAGGTTTCTGAGATAAATTGACCTATCATTCAAAGGGCCAACTGCTCGAGTTCCACGGGGTAACTTATGGATGAACTGGTTCTTGTTGACCATTCCATTATTCTATGGTTTTGATATCTCCTGAAAAGAGAGAAATAAACATATGTTGTTAAATTTTGAAGACTAATATAGTTAATATTCATCTGCCCTAATTATTATGTTATAGCCTTATCAAGACATTTTATTCAGAAAAAATGTCTTCCTTGACATACGTTCATTTTTCTGCCCTCAATCGCACTTCAGGTCACAGCGACTGTGAAATTTTTAAAAATTGGGAACAAATCAATTGAATTTCGGGCTCAGAGGTCGAATTAAGCTCATCAAGTTTCTTTCCTATTTGAATGCCCTCATGACACAAGATGCCATTTTATGCCGACCACAATTGTTACTTTTGGACGAATGCGTTTTTTCTTTACGTATGACTATGAGATAATTGTTCATGAAAGTTTTGCTTACCTTGGCTGGAGAATTGATCATAGCAAGGTAGTGGTCTGCGTCATCAAATGGGTAGCTCAATAACAGGTTTAGGATAAATGTCACCAGAAATCATGGCATCGTAGAAATCGGCTAACTTATCGTCTGCAGTACTCAATGGACCTTTGGGGTATTCAATCAGCATACAGCTCGTGTCATTCGGAATACTGATCGGACGGCAAAGAATACTTGGAGAATTATCCACTGTGGATATAGAGTTGAAACGGGTCTTCACCTGGTGAAATAAATTTTGAATATGAAAATAAAGTTCATCGCGTGCCGTCAACAAAAATTACAAGATAGCATATCATAATCCTACAATTATGTTTTTAGCGTTTTATTTAACTTTTATCAGATGACCCATAAAAGGATCAATCACCCCAGATATAGGAGTGTTAATAATGTTGTTTGTGCATTTACATTGTGTTTTAAATTTCGCTGAAAACTGATACGGTCACAGTTACCCAGATCTTTCGATTGGATATTAAATAAATTTGACTTGTTACGTATTAGGACGTTTCTAAATATTGTACACATGCTTCCGTTATAAATTGACCCCGGGGTTAATTGTCAGGATGTAGTCAGTTTAAAAGGTCAATTTTCAATATGATGATTTTTGAGTAAAATTATCATTTATATGTATGATATAACACGAACGATGTTCAAAAAACCTTCCATATTTTTGTAAAGGTTGGAGCTTAAAACTTAAACCCATTCTTTGTTAACAAATAACACATGCTTTTGTAAGTTTTGCTCTACTTAGCCCAGTAACCATTTCAATAATAAATGCAAAAACGTTCTCTTTGTCAGCTTACCTTTAAAATTCTGATGTCGTTTTCCCAACAAAAGGCTTCTATAAGAGTGTGTTGAATGTGAACAGATATATTTTCAGTACCCGCTTCAGGAAGTACACACAACATCACGTTTTCAGGATAACTGCAATAAAAAATGTTATATTTAAAATAATGTAGACTTGTAATGTTCTAAAGAAGATAAATTATCACACGAACGTAGACACAATTCTTAAGTGTCTGACAAAAAACAACTAATTTGAAACACTAAAAAACAACAAGAAAAAAACCCCAACACATTACAGCATTATCAATTTCTCTTTCCCAAGACTACGTGGTGAATATTCAGACGATTCCAGTAATTCCGAGTGTCATAGTGTTGTCAGACCATAGAAATAATTCCCCAAGTTGCATTGGTATTTAGTTCTTAATATCTACTGCTGTATTGTAAGTTCAAATCAATAATTTTATGATTCCTTCGTCACGATTCTTTGGTGCATAAGGAGTTTTATTAGCTATCCAAAACGCCCACATACCATAATGTAACACAGACATCAACCAGTGATTACTCACCAATTCAAAAGTTTGGCACATTTAACCACGCCTGAGGTCAATCTTTCACCCTCGATAGCTTCAGAGAGACACTGTAAAAGGATTTCTCCACAGGCCTCGTCTTTCCTGCAAATAAAAAAAAATAGAAATTCAATTAGATATTTATTAAAATTAGTACCCAAACAACTGCGATTGCGTAAAATGCCCTCTAAATTGCTCTGACACCTAAACTGAGTAAAAACGAAAAAGCTTTAGTCTCATATCATAATCACGGTACCCTCGCCTCGAACTTAATTCGCCCAAAGCTCTGATGCAAAGAGTTTAATTCACACTAACCCTAAAATAGTCCATCTGCAAAGGAGGTACACTTTTATGATGAAAAATGCATTACCTAAATAACATAGTTGAAACTTCTAGGGTTGTGTTATCCAAGGGTAATGAACATAGACAGCATATTGCAAAAGTCAAAACTCAAATGGCATTTGTTGACATTGACAAGTGCAGTGAACAACTCTTTGTAGATCTAAATATATCTTGGTAAGATCACACGTTATACAGTCAGTCACCTGTTCCTCTCATATGGCATGTCGCCATGTACAGCAAACATACAATAAGCTCTGTCACATTTTCCACTGACCTCACCTCAAGTCGATCATGTGACGCTAATTAGAGTCGTAATCAAGTGACTACCGTGTGACAGGTTAAAAAGATGCGAGGAAAGCCCCTACTGGCTGATTATAAATATCATACTATCTTATAAACCTATCCAGGGGGTAAATCAAAAGGTATCTTTAGGGTCATAGCAACCTTTCGGTCAAATATTATTTTCGCTATATTATCTCTTCAAGTATGTATAATTGTCGATACCCTCAAAACAACATTGTTCAAATGCCATTTTTGTCGCCAGAAAAAATAAATCGCCCTGGAGCTCTATGATGAAAATATGGTGGCATTTCATAATAATTGTGTGATTACAAAATCCCTTAAGAAGATTTTTCTGTACATGTTTTTGAAGAATGATTTGTTAAGATCAAGATCTTTAAATAAATTAGTTGTTATTCTATACGTGCGTAATTTATGTGTCCTTGATATGTGGGAATTAAAACCCACTCAAACCACCTAAAAACGTTTAAACGATATATAAAACGTATATTGTGATATCGTATTATTTACACCTACATACAATAAATTGTTATCTCTAAGCACAGAATTGCTTACTCGCAAATTATGCAACTCAATATACACATGTAATTTTTTTTGTTGATGTGGTTTCCTTTTGGCAGAGAAAGCGTTAATTTGGCAGGATTTATAGCGACTTAAGACTAATTTCTTACTATAAAACCACCTTAGCATGATTACCATATGAATGTACAAAACAGATCGCATTACTGTTGTTTCTATTGAAATAATTAGCCTTGGTTGCAATTACAATATCAGGAATCCCAATTTTCATAAAGAACGCAAGCGGAGGATAGGTTTACATGGCACCAAATATTAAGGGAAGAGTATTGGTAATTATCCAGTTTTCAAAATCGGGTAGTTGTTTAAATCCAGAAATCTATCAAATTCTAGTAATACAATGGCATCAGACGTGAATACGATTGTCAAAGATATGTTATCGATTGGTGTATACAACTTTCTATCTGATATAACACTAATAACGGTAGAACTAATTTTATCGCACCACAGAGCACTTTATGACAGCACTTATTGAAGATATCATTAAAAATATACAATTTGCACGTCCATTCATATTTGGATAAAAGGGTAAAATAATTTTGATAATTATGAAAAATATATATGTACTTACGTTTCTTTCGCCATAGCTACATCCTCTAAATGAGTAAAAGTCATGATGAAATTCTGGTTAATTCCAAAACAAAGAAGGAAGTGCACAGAGAAGTTGATTTAACAAAATAATATTCCGTTACAATCTTGATATATGTATACTATAGCCTATATTATCGACTCTTCTGTATCGTTTTACGTACACGCTTTATATATAACGGAGGCGTGAGTGGATGACGGAAAACCTCTGCCGATTGGCTAACTGTCTACTGGCCTATTTTTCCTGAAAGACATCGAGTTCACGGTACAGTGTACTAGGTACAGTATCATAAGGTGTACGATATATGCTTTACTTATATATTGATATATTGTGCTGCTGCAGGGCATCTATTGGGATTAAGTAGTACGTCTATAATAACAATGGTGTAAGTAAGGCGGTACAAGAAAAGAACCGGGCAAGGTCATAAGCTATGGGCTTACAGTTCGGCAATCCCTAATTTCTTAACGAGATCTTCTATCAACACACAGGTTACGCTATAGGCTTTCAACGTATTTATTCGCTGACCACACTTTCAACAAGTCACTGAGTACAACCTACAAAAAAACAAGGAAACATTTTATTTCTATGAGTGGCACGGCTTATCTACAGTTCATAATTATATACTACGGGGAACTCTATAACCTTAGAGTTTTTGAGCAATTACTCAGTATGACAACATGGTAGTAACAACGCACTTACACTGGAAATGCAAATCGCAGTATGGAGAATAACAACAGGGTCCCATGTATTCTTCCCCATTCAAAACTCTATGTTTGCAAATGCATTACAATTCACGAAATAATTGGAATTGCTTACTTACATTAGTTTATATACCTCAATAAATATGAACAGTATTACCTTAGAGATAAGAACTCTGAATCTAAGCGGCACCTATCTTCAAGAAATATCGAACAACTCACCGGTCTCAATCATCCATGGATTATACCCGTTTCCAATTGTCGTTCATACGACCACAACAAATTTTTCTGGGTCCAATTAGACCGTGTGATCTGGCATAACAAATACGCAAATGCCATTTGGAAACAATAAATCGTGTTTTCAAGTGAGCTTCCTAAATGCAATCACCAACATTTCAAATTGGAAATAAGGTTCTTTGAAAAAAAAATAAGCATACCCTGTCGCGTGGAAGATACTATATTTATACAGATATCTAGACAAATATGTTGACATTTTGACATTGCTTCTAGGTACAGTGTAACCTCCGAGCGAGGAGTCTTAAGCAAGAACGACACCTCGGGCTGCCTTACTTTACCATAATGGACACCATGTACCAATTACCTAACGCTTTTGGGGCTTTTAAAGAAAGGCTACCGACGAAAATGATTAAACCTATTCAACTTACAGGAATTCGGTCTTGTATTAAAAGCTCGAACACCATATATAATAACATATTATGCTCTATAAGTTAGCTAAATAAATCTAAAGAAAATCGGTGACGAATATTTCCAGACACACAGAGGCTCTAGGTTAATACAATCAGGCAGTTCAGCCACCTACATTTACTCTCAGATGTCAACGTCCAGTGGAAAAGCTACCACAGCTATCACAGTTAAAACTAATATAACTATGCCAAATATAGGGTGCTCTAGCTGTAGATTGATTTTGGCTTATTTACAGGATTCTGAAAGGTGTATTTAATCCGCGGATATAACACACTGGGCTTTTAGACATCACCCGCCATCAGTGTTACAAATACCGATTAATTATAGACATCTCTGTACTATATTTGTTTTTATCCATTGTCAGGGTGAACGACTACGACAAGGAAGTTTTTATGTTGATTCCAAAGTGGAACGATAAACCATTAAACCATTAGACATCGTGAATTGAAAATAAAATAGGAATGTGGCCTATCGCAAATGGAGTACAATGTACTTTTGTTCTTAAAAATAATAATTTTAATAAAATTTTGTGACAGGTCAAATAGAAGTTAATTTTCCAAAAGGGCGCAATTTCAATTTATTTGGCGATCATTCATATCTTTTTCTGCGACCTGACCCCTTCAATGGAAAGGGTTATTTGATGAACTAAAGATAATACAACAAAATATCGGTATTAATATCTTAAAATTTGTAATCGGTTATGCCGAGAATTTTTCCAGTCAAGAATGAAAATGTAGGTGCAAAAAGGAGTATGTTATGTCTATACATGCGCCGGAGTTGTGTGGAGAAGATTAAACGGCATTCCGATCTGGTTTTGGTAACCCGGCGCTGGCGTTAACTTTGACAAGATGAACGGTCTGAAAAAATCAAGGCGATTCTTTGAGGTCAACACATAAATTCCGGCTGGGTGTTTACAGCGACATTTCACCTCTAACTATATACAATGACCAGCACTATAAGTTTAAATTCTTGATGAAAACATTCAAGTTTGTGGTATAGTATCACAGCCCCCAACACCCCCACCCCCACCCAATAATTTGGCCGCATGTACTCCTTTCTCCAGGTTATTGCACGCAATTAATTATGCGGTTAAATATAACGACGTCTAATTTTAACATAGAAGTGAGACCCTGCTAGCTCTATACTGATCCCTGGGTTGAGAGACCCCCCGTTGCTAGGGTCATGATTAGTTAACTGAAAAGTCGATCTTTATTTCAACCCCATCTCACTTGCGTTGTATATATGACAGATTAGGCAATTAAAAGAAACGACGGGATAGAGTTTTTCTCACACTCTTTTCTTGTGTCCCTTATCCATCAAATAATTCACTGATATCAGTTATGGTCAGTTGAAACAAGCGGATGCCATACAAGATACACCGCATTTTTCAAGAGGTAAAATCAATAGGGCTCATCCTCTCATTCAAGATCTTTTGATCCTTAACATATTTGTAAAGTTTCCTCAAAATGGGACAACGATTGTAGCCCCTCTGGAGGGCCCACAAAATTCATTCATATTTCACATTTTTCGTAAAAAGCAGGGACTATAGCTTTAGAATGTAAGGTCTGATGCGTACCAAAGTCGAACTCATCCAAGAACTTTTGACCCTTAACACGTAGTTTAGGTTTCATCACAAGAATCGGACAAAATTTGTCGCCTATGGAAGGTCCACAATCTTTATTCATATTTCCCATTTTGCGCACCAATATTGAACTCTACTAAGAACTAGTGATACTCGTTTTAATTTCATTCCTTGTAGGAACACAGTTACAGAGGAAATTCAAGAGGTTACGTTGCTGTAGCATATTTTCTCTCTCCGGGCGCTTAAAATAATAAAAGTGTTTACAACTCTTATGGTAATTTATTTTAATCTATTTTCGTAAATGTTGACAATGTCAAACGGAAATAAAAACACTATATTATAAAGCTTTGCATTTATAGCTGCTTTATAACTGGTGCAAGGGACACTTAATAAATTAGAACCTCAATATACATAGCACAATCTGCCAGCTTTCATTTAAATATCCATGATTGATTAGAACATCGGATTATATACTCTTCAAAAAATGTAGGGGATATTCAGAAACAATACAAAACTGCGGAAATGCACTGCTGTTTTTATTAGTAGTAACCAGTATATGTTAATAACAGGCCAATTGCCTTCACATCAACATAAACAGTTCATATGGGCGACTTATCTGACGGCCCCATTTCACTCGCAAAGAGATACACTGTCAAAAGTGAAAATGGACGTTTTTGATTTTTGTCTTAATAATGAGTAATTGCTCCACCAATTCTCAGACATTCAGCAATTGGTCGTGGCATGCTCCTAATCAACCGTCCAATCACGATTTGGGGCAATCTGACCCATCCTCTTGCAGTGCCACGGCCAATTCTTTCACTTTTATCGGTTGACGTTGACGTCGACGAACACGTCTCCCGATCAAATTAAACGTAACCCACTAAAGCAAAGATACGCTAAACAGTAAATCTTATTCAAAAACCGATGGGAAAGCATACATGGATAGGATAAACAAGCAAGCGGCAGTTTTCGTCAAGCCTTCCTTGAAGTGTCAAATTTGACAATGAACCCCTCCCACGTCGTGTATGGCGCTATTGCGTGTAGCATGGGCAGCTCGGAGGTTCTGTTGGGGCGATAAGTTCTTCATCTGTGAACATACTCTCAAAGCATGTCAAGTGTCCATGACTATTTATCATATCACAACCTGCATAGGTATTTGCATTTCAATATCCTCTACTTTTTTTGAAGAGTATATATTCATATTGAAGAAAGAATGCAGGGAAGTAAAATATTATTTCCTGATTATCTGAAGTTTCCGCTCGTTTTTGCTTCTCAGTCCATGTTCATTCATCAAGGTAATATTTTCAAAAAATGTTGCCTGAAGCCCGTATCTTTTAATGTTATTCACAGTTAGAAAAATAATGAAAACTGTAATAAACATCTTTACTCAAAGTGAACAGTTCAGATAAGACTTCCACTAGTATTATATTCTGTCAAAAATAATGGCTTTAACACTACTTTTGACCTTGACAACTACCGATTTAGCAAATATTTTATGCGCCCGCAGAGAGAAAAAACTACTATGCTACAGCAACTCTATTCTAGTGAGTGACAAAGCTGTGGTGTATATCAGATAATTATAAGCATGCAATCATGTCATATTCCAGTCAATCTGTTAAAGATGCATTATTCAAGAGCTAAATTTGCCCATTGCAGGTCTTTCTTTGGGCCTTAAATGTTATATAAATTATTAATAAGATATTTATTAACATGAAAAGACCATGCCATCGGATGCTCGAGATCTTAACCAGACTAGAACGGTTCGGACATTTAATGATTTAATTTAAAAATGGAGAAGCGATGCTAAAACTCTTAACATACCAGTACCGTGGTTACGATGATAAACAACCAATGCACACATCTTGTCAAAACTATGATAACTTGACTCAGAATAAAGTAATTTGAATGAAATTTTCAATATATTCATTTTGCATTATCCGTTTTTGAACTATTATAACAAGAACGGCCAGCTCATTATCTAAATCTTATATAATGTATCTTTAAACAAAAAAATAGTTTCCCTTACGCTTTCAGCGCTTTTTATGATTAAATGATCTTGTTAATAATTTTAAAAAGAAAGGAATCAATCAAAAGTATTGCTTTAAACTTTCAAATAGTTGACACTTTCCGTGTTTCCGTGGACATGTACTGAAATTATCTGTACAT